GACGGGAGGACGGGGGAATGGTGAGGAGGAATGGGGTTGACGATGCGATGGCCAGTTGGGGGGAAAGGGGTGAGGAAAAAACCGTCCCCTTCTCCCTCCCCCACTTCCCCCGCACCCCCTAGGAGATCGCTCTGGATCCACCTGTGACTACATATAACTGATTCCCTAAAGGCGGCTTGGAATTATCTGTTAGGAGTATTGTGTAAAACGAAAGGTTGCTCAGTGCACTGTTAATTTCAGATTAACTAACACCAATTCTTGTAAGCACCTGGTGTATGTAAGTGAGAAGGAATTATGATTAGTTCGCATACGTATCTATATGAGTACAACTGCGTATCTTTCTGTATGTGGAAGTTTATGTCCGGTATTTCATCTTTGGGACTGTGAGTGGTAGACCTGTAAAATGATCTAGCTGTGGCTGCAGAGAAGAAGGAAAGGAGAAGGATGTGCACATTCTCTATGTGGCTAGAACAGCTTGTCACGAAAAAGAATAACCTTCACGACATCTACGTAAGCTGGAAAAAGTTCACAGAAAAGTAACGAGCGACATCTGAGGAAATTCGAACCTTTAGATGTGATTTTCTCGCGCAGATTTGATTTCAACACTGTTCGATTAGAAGCAAATTTCAGTTTGCGAAGCATCACGTACCCGAAACACATCCAAAGGACATGGATGATTGCGTGGAGCGTCGTGTTCGTTTGCTGGTTGCCGATGGTGCCACAGCAGCATGTGTGGCTGTATCAAAAACGGAGAGCAAAAATGCCTTGGAGCTTTTGGCTCGTGCCGTATTGGCTTTTACTGAGTTTCCGGACCTGCGTGGCCAGGTTCTCAGTGAAGGTGGTGCTAAGGTTGGACAGTTTTTGTAATTTAAAAGTAACATTGGCTACATTTTTTCGAAGAATCATATTCTCTTCTGCTTAAGCAAGTGCTTCACAGTTGATGGTCTTTTTGAAAATGATACCAAGGATTTGATACTTTCACTATGGATTATAGCCATCAGCTTTTTTGCTACTCAAGCAATTTGCAACTCAAGCGACCTACCGAATTGCATTAATTTTAACTTCTTTCTTGCTGATTAGTACCAGTTAATGTCACTGTTAGACCGCCTAGTACGCCCTTTTTCCCAGAAAGTGAATTTCGGGTCTTTGCTTTTAATTCGAAGCTTTGTTTGAGAATTTCTTCTGTAAGTCGGAATGTCAAATTTTGCTGAGAAAACTTTTGATTTTTCATTTCAGCTGTGCTTGCGTTTGACAAAAGAAGCAACGGAAGAAGGTAAAATCAAAGCAGCACATGCAATTGCGCGACTCGGCACGCAGGTTTATTTTGAGCAGTTACGGCCAAAATTAATAATTTCAGTCGGCAAAGTGGCATAAAAACCGGTTTTCATTAACATTTATCAAACTGTTCGCATGAAATTCCTAACTTTGACGGATGTGGTGAAAGTTTTGGCTTCTCTTTTTTAAATCTAGACGTAAAGAAAAGTTCTTCAATTTCAGGTTGATCCGTCAATAGCATTCCCGGGACAAAGAGCCTACGAAGTGATACATCCTCTGGTTCAGCTGCTCCATCCTGATATTGAAGGAAGGCCGAATTATGATGCTCTTTTGACGCTCACCAATTTGGTGATTTTCGTTTGCTTCATTTTCAGAAACCCCTTAAGGATGTGTTACATTTTATGTGCATGTAACCTTTCGACTTTGCGACAACGGTGCTACTGCAGTATTGTTGAAGTGCCGTAGGTCATAGGTTTGACTTCACTGATGGGACAACCAATCCTTCTACTACTCGTTCATTTATTTCTTTGATAAAATTGATCCTGGCTTATGCCAAAGAGTCAGACATCGCTATCAATTATTGCTTTTGAGCAACCGTAGAAAGGAGGAGACATCGACAGCTTGCTAACAGATCGCCGTTGCTAGTCTTTGCTGTCACGTCCCACTTCTTCCTGGGAGCGAATACGGAGAGAGTTTCTAGCTTCTTGGTTATTGCTTATTACTTATCTTATTGTGGCTCGTACGTTTCCTTCTCGGGGTTTTTCATTTTTAGTATTATTGGGCAAAGCTTCTTTCTTCGTTAGCTAATGCATTATGCAAAGTTATTCACCAGCAATTTTCCAAAAAATCCTTTTATTAACGTACCCAGCAATTTTCATGAATCACTGAAAATTGATTTCCTGACAAAAAGACATTTTTCTCGCCGTTTTTAGTGTAAAATAACAGGTACTACTTTCACTGTGATCATTTGCTGTGGACTTCACAAAGATTTTATGGGATACGGTTATGCTTGGCTGTCTTCTGAACTATTTGGTTGACCCACCAGGCCAGCACTGACGAGCACTATTTCACTAGAGTTTGTCCAGTTTTATAGGTCACTTACTAATAAATACTATTCAGTTTTCTTCTTGAACTTGTTTTTTTTTCAGGCAAGCATGAGTGATTCTGTGCGCCGTCGAATGATCAAAGAGCGGATTGTCCCCAAAGCGGAAGAGTACTGGTACATGACGGATCATCCTCACCTGCGTGCTGCAGCCGCTGAATTGTTCCTG